TACAAATTGAGTTGCATCGATTGCAATGCGTCATATGTGGGACAGACAAAAAGGCAGTTACAAACAAGAATAAAAGAACATATGAATAACATCCGTACATCTCAATTATCAGTCGTCTCTCAACATAGACTGAATCTTTCTCATTCCTTTGATTTTAATGAAGTGAATATTTTGGACCGGGGAACTAATTTTCATAAAAGGCTCATCTCAGAAATGATACATATCAAATTACGGCCTCATGGTTTAAACTTAATAAACGATCTCGATATGTTAGATCGTTCTTATTTCGACCTTTTAAATAACTTGAGATTATAAACATCAAGATATAACGTTTCNTCTATGGAGGGGAAGGATGTATATATGTTTCTGCCTTGAGTTCTTTCCGACAGTTTGACTTTACTTCGATAAACTGTAAGTAACCATCAATAACTACTTCTTATTTGTTTGATTCTTATTTCGGACGTACTTTTCATAGGACTCATTTAATATCATGGACAACCTGGCGGCATTTAAGTATTGTATGACCTCATTCACTAATACTAAGATCTTATGTTAAAAATGTATTTGCGTGTATCCATTTTTGTATTATTTTTTTAAAATTTAAGTTTAATTAATCATTATTTTTATTGCGACTGAAGAAGGCTTCATTGTGAGTCGAAACGTTTCGCTTATTATTTGTTCTATGTTTTAATATACTCATTTAATACACCATCTATTGTTCTTTGCTCGTTTTGCGACCTTTCCTTTTCATTCTTATTGTTATATTTACGAGCGGTTTCTGTTTCTTATTTATAATGATTGTCACATTTCAGGAAGAGCCCGTAGAGATAAAGCGGAGCTTCCTCCTCCTTCTCCTCTAGCCCTTGATTCCGATAAGTAAACCATCTCTAAATAATTAAACAATAAGAAATATAAAGGATATATATATATATAAATTTTTATATTGATTTTTTTCGATAAAGACGTGCAAATACTGATGCACATACGGCCTGATCAAAATGCCGATCAGCAGCAACAGGCGGAAGCGGAAGAGGAACGGGCGTATGAATTACGGAGAAGGCTGGTGGACGAAGAGCTCGCAGATATTTTTGAGCGAGAAACAATTCATTTGTCGGAGGTCAGTGGGGACGACGACAACAACATCAACAACAACAACAACAACATCAACAACGACGACGACGATGACGACGACAATGACGACGACGACGACGACGACGACAACGACAACGACGATAACGACAACGACGACAACGACAACGACGAAGACGCCGGTGAGAACGACGACGACGACGACGACGACGACAACGACAACGACAACGACGACAACGACAACGACGGTGAGAACGACGACGACGAAGACGCCAGTGAGAACGACGACGAAGACGCCGGCGAGAACGACGATGATAATGGCGATGATAATGGCGACGAAGATGCCGACGATGATGAAGATTCCATCGCGGAAGGTTAGAATAGTTGCATGTACATATAATTGTATATAATTGTATATAATTTGATATAATAAAAAAAGAAATAAAAGAACCAATTAGCGATATAAATTAGGTAGACGCTTCATTTAATTGAATAAATATATTTAATATATATATACTCGTTGTCCTACTTATTTAATTACCCTATATAAACGTAAAATTACGCTAAGAAATATCACATAAAAATAAATTTTTTAAATTAATATCGAGCATACCTAAGTTTCATTAATATTGTGCATGTCCAAACGTGT